ATGTCACGTCACTTTTTTTTTTTCACACTTTTTTTTTTATTTTTTTTAAATGGCACGACATTGGTGTTAATGACTCTTATGAGCCATTTCGTTTTAGTGAATCAAAAACATACAGTGGGACCATTGTAGTCTTATTTCTGAATGAATGACTCTTATAAACGGGTTCTTTTCCAGTGCGACCAGTATGTAGTCTGGTTCAGTATTTAGTCTGACCCCTTGAGCCTATTCTTTTTAGTGAATCAAAAACAAAGCCCACTTTAGGCAGACTATACCACATCATGTCCACAAAATAAGTATTTGACTATTTCTGCCTAGCAATTACTCAATTGAGAGTTCAGAAACACTCAAAAATACCACTATGTGAGCCTTCAGCACTTCCTCTACCCCGTGACCTCTTTCCTGACCTTTCACCTTCAAGCCCGCACATAAAGCCCAGCTGCTTCAGATGGGGGAAGAAAAAACATTCTTACGTAGAACTAAGCAGGGGTTAGCAGAACTCCAACAGCTTAGTAAACAAAATCTGAATTCATTAATGGGACAAAAAAAGTCTTTATATAATGTATTTATATAAAGTAAATATTTAAATGGACGTACCTAGCACTGTTAGAGTGACATTTGCAGAGATCATGCCCGCCGTGTTTTTTGCCGTGCAGCTGTACACCCCCATATCCTCAGGCTTTACGTCCATGATGAAGAAGACATCGTCATCGGGCATCACACGCATGCGGCGCTCTCGGGCGGCAGGGAAATCTGTACCGCCATCTTTCTGCCACGCCACTTGGGGAGTCGGATGTCCTTCAGCCGCACACTCTAACCGCGCCTTCGTGCCCGTGCGGATCGTGATGTCGCGTGGGGTCTTGACAAATGAAGGCAGCACTGTGCGCATAAGCAGGCAAAGGGAAATTAGCCCTAGCAAGGATTATTCCCATAATGTTGCTACACCAGCACCAAACAAGCCTAGCATTCATAGCTGTGACTAACTCAATTGGTGATGGGAAATGGCTTGATTTGGACGGGCATGAAACCAAAAATGCCTCAGGACAATCCATTTGCATCTGTTGCTCGAACTGACAAGGCATGTAATTCAAATGTATTGCTAACAGCAGAGAAGATAAAAAATGCCAAAATTCTAGTGGCGCAGTTCAGTCTGAATGTTCAAACTGAATTTTGCTGGTACAATTCACTGAAAGAAAAACTCTGAGCCAGTGTTAATTTTGACAGCAAATTTTGATTTAGTTTTAGTCATAGACTTTTGACTAAAATGCCATTTAGTTTTAGTCATATTTTAGTCATCTGAATTGTTTTAGTTTTAGTCGACTAAATATCATACGATTTTAGTCTACTAAATCTACAGTACATTTAGTCGGCTGAAATCTAATGGGTTTAGTTACAGTGCATTTATTAAGAATTTCTCTCAAATTTCCAAACTCATTATATAGGTTTGATATTAAGGTTTTACCATGATAGACACCGATTTAACTGCGGTGACACACAACATGCCTTTATGTTAAAATTAAATAAAACCACTTCTCATAAAGAAACAAGAACATGGTCTTCTTTTTAATGAAATACCAATGGTTATATAGGCTAATTACGCATTCTTTATAGCAACTTGTTTACCATATTCTTCATTCTTTCAAGCAGACATATTTATTTCTATAAATAAATTTAG